AGATACATTTTGCCATGTACAGCAATACTTGTCCCCTTGTATTGGCAATTTTGAGTCGGGTTTTTCTTTTTGAGGAACTGGCAGGGGCACTGCCTTTTTTCTTTTAGAGAGAAAGAGGTGAAAAAACATATACAAATGGGGCGCATGTTTTTAAGGTGAAAGATGACGAAAACCAGGGCTAGCCTAATACAAGGCCAAGTTAACCAATGCCCACAGTCGGAATGGCATTTGAAAACGCCATATACCGTTGTTTGGTGTCATCGTAAGCGAGCATTGCCACTTCACGATGAGTCAAATTTGAGTCGGATTTTTGCCATGGCATTTTTGTTACATTCTTGCAAATTTCCAGCTATATGAGAACCTAATGCTTGCTCTAATCCCCACATGGTCACATGGCATTTATGTGAAGTGGCTTGGAAAAATGTAACTATAGTAGTTTTTAGGACTCTCAAATTATATTTGGTCACATGGCATTTACGTGTGAAGTGGGCATGGCAAGTTTCTGAAAGAAATTCATATGGAAAATTCATAACATAGCAGAAAATCATATGGCAAATTCAAAAACATGGCAGTTATTGTTTAGTGAAACATAGCTTTTTTAGAGCAAATTGCATTTTTTTGTCACGTGTCATTTTTTGTGTGGTGGCTTGGCAAAACTATCATGCATCAATAAGTTGTTTTCAATTCTTTTTGTTTCGAGATAGTATCAACTCACGAAAAAAATTGGTTGCAGATGTTTTTGTACTAGGTGGCAAATTCACATGTGCAAACAATGTCCATGGCCAATTCCTAGAATTTTGTCATGGGAAATAATGTTTTAACATGTCAATTTCCTAGAGCTTTTCCTTAACGTCCACATGTGAAAATAATTCTTTAACATAGCAAATTCATGGAGTTGTCATGGCATACATTTTTTTTAACAATGCAAAATTGTTACTTTCTGTTCAACAAACTTTTGTTCTAATGCTTGTCATGTGTAAATTTCATTATAGGTAGGATGACATTTTTACATTTTTAGACCATGGCATTTTAACTCGTTGGACCTTGTCATTTTTATTTTAAGATGATGGCAGTTTTCATTATGAATAATAGGATGGCACTTATATTAATAAGAGTAAGGCACTTTAATAATTAATAACATGACATTTTTATAATCAATGACATGGCAACTTTAATAGTTAATAATAGTTAATAACATGGCATTTTTATTAATAAAATAGCTTTTTATTAGTAACATGGCAGTTTTAATAAATATAACATGTCATTTTTTAAATAATAGGATGACATTTTTATAATTAACAACATGACATTTTTATTAATAACATGTCATTTTAAAATAAGAGGATGGCATTTCTATAACTAACAACATGGCATTTTAATAGTTAATAACATGGCTTTTTTATTAGTAATAGGATGCAGTTTTATAATTTATAACATGGCATTTTAATAATTAACAACATGGCATTTTTATTAATAGCATGTCATTTTTATTAATTAGAGGATGGCAGTTTTATTTATTAAGAGCATGACATTTTAATAATTAATAACATGGCATTTTTTAATAATAGGATGTCAGTTTTTATCAATAATAACATGACATTTTTAATATTAGGTTCAGGCCCATAAAATGGCATTTTTTCCCACAAGCATGGTATTCTCAATTTTTTTCAAAGAGCATGGCATTTTTATGTTCAAGAGTGTGACGTACTTTTACATAGATCATGCCTTTTTCATTTTTGTTGAGGATGACATTTTTTGTTTGAAAGAACATGACATTTTTTAGCATATAGCAGTATTTTTCTCTTTGTATGGAATTTTTAGGTACAAAAATCACAGCCACTTTTTTTTGTGTGTGTATAAGAATTTTTAAAAAACTTAGATATGGAAATTTGTACAAATTAGGCATTTTTTAGGTACAAATTGGGCTTTTTTCCAGCCCAACTAGGGCACAGTACGAGAGAGGACCCCCTCAAAAAAATGTACGAGAAGAGGGACCGCTAAAAAATGTACTCCCTCTATTTTTATATACAATGCCACTTGGTTTTCCGTGTCAAACTTTGATTTGTAATTTTGGTCAGCAAAATATGCGTTATATGTCCTCAAAAATATATCATCGAAAAGTTCTTTGAAATGCACATTCAATGGCACATTTTTTATGACATATGATTCACATTTTGTTGGTAAAATTAATGGTCAAAGTTAGACATAAAAAATATGAAGTGGCCTTGTAGTAGCAAATAGAAGGAGTACGAGAGGAGGGAGTTTGTTGGGGTCGTCGTTCCCAACGAAAAAATATGTTCCCTCGACCAACCCTTCAGTGGGAACAATTAGTTCGCTAGGACCACATCCCATAAAGCACGATTGTGAGATGTTGACTTTTTTTAGAAACTAAAGTATCCATTACGCTAGTCATAGTGGGAGTAACTTAGCGAGTAACTTAGCGCACCTCAAGAAATTTTTGCTTATGTGGCAAGTAATTAATGAGTAGTAACATAATATGTTACTATAACATAGCGCTTCCCAATACAAGATAAGTCTATAAGCTAATAAATGAAGCCATCTATGACATTACTAATATGTTATTTTGCATTATGAAGATAGTAACTTAGACTAGTGTCATATGCATGACACTAGTATAAGTTACTCCCTACTATGACCAGCCTTACCCAAGCAATGAAATACTAAGGTTGTAGATTACTATGGCTTTATAAAACTGTTTTGCCAAACTAGGCCTTGATCTCCTCGGTTTTTTTAGGCGAAGTATGGCGTGCGTTAGCCTGCATCAACTGTTTAAATAAAATAAAAGCGGGATATATCAAGATACAATGATAGTACAAGCACATACGCCACCACTAGAAAAGTGAAAACAAAGAAGAGGAGCAAATCCCAAGACTCTCAGTCTTGGAGATAAATAGTACAAGCACAACTACCATCAAAGGACGGGAGAAAATCGTGTTAACATGGATTTCCATGGGAGGTCGGTTGTGTAAAGGTTTTGACCCAGGGTAGGTATATCATGCTAGGGATGAAAAAGGAGTGGAAATGAACGAAACTATGTGCTACCATATTTGTTTTCATTTTTCTTGCAGAAGCGGAAACGAATACAGAAACCCCGGAAATGAATACTGAACCAAATATTACCGGAAACAGACATGGAGCGAATACAGAGCGGAAACGGAAACAAAAATGGGCATCGACGGAAACTTAAAAACCCGTTGAATCATATAGAAATACACACAAAAATAGACAAATTTAATGAATTGTAAACATGGCTAGGAAATAATATGATTATGTTAGCAATTTAGCGTAGTATTGTAGTAGTACTAGACAATTGCGTATAGTTGAGTATGTGTGTGGTAGTAGAAGTTGGGCCTCAAATGATCTATTCTGCTCATTGTATTATTGTGTGTTGTTTGGTGGTTGAGCTTCAAAGCAGTCATAAGCATATAGTAAAAACATAGAATCCATATTCATAAAAACGGAAAGTTTTGTTTTCATGTTTGTTCCACCAGAAAACACTGTTTCATTTTATTTCGTTTTCGTTTTGCAAATTTCCGTTTACATTTTCATATTTCCTCTCCGTTTTCATTTTTCCTCTAGAAAAGTGAAAAGTTTCCACTACATCTTCATCCCTACATCATGCTATGTTTTTGGTCTTCTGGGGCAAACTGTGACCACAATCAATGGAGAGATTGGAATGTTCCTTTAGGATGCGCTCGGGGTGCCCCGGTGCGACCCTCTGGATGCGCAATAAATCATCCTTGAATAGGCGAGGCAGTCACGCCTAGTATCTCATTTGATCCATGGGGATTTCTACTTGTAGTATGTGGGCGACGTGATGGTTCTTATCGAGTAGGAGACATTGCTTCACTTTCCTGGCCACGAGAAGGCATAAATCTGACATATAGTTTGCTTTACTTTAAAACTAGATCACCAATAGCTCAATCTCCCACAATCATATTTGAGCTTGTGCATGAATATCATAATGGTCATCACTTGCTCTTCTAAATATTCTATCACAATTTATTGAGTGGCACAATGAATTCTTCACTTGAATAATTTGCTTTACATATGGATCAACCATGACCCAACTCATGAACTTACCATGAGCCTAACTTCAAGTCATATCTAAATTTCTTCTCTTTAATCATTCTCTCAAGACATCGATCCTTCATGGCATAACTCATGAGCCCAACCATGGTAACCTTTGAGTGCTCATATCTCGTTGTTCACATATATAGCGGTGGCAATTGAGATTCCATCCCTCATGAAGGTGTTGCTATTGAAGACCCTCGTCTGCGTGGTGTCATGAAATGATTAGTGTAGACACGGTCATTGTTACAACACGTGTTGCTATTGAAGACCCTCGTCTGCGTGGTGTCATGAAATGATTAGTGTGGACACGGTCATTGTTACAATACAACGATTGTGTACTTGATTGTTTTGGGTTTTTTGTAAATTCTCTTTTTACTGACCTACACATAACTTTGGTCTTATATAACTTTGCTATTTGCCGACATGCTTTCTTATGTATGTGTATTGTGTTCATCCTAACTATGCGGAGACCAAATATGTACCCATTGCGTTTGTGTATTCTTGATGCTTCATTTTAAGCCAATAAAATCCATCTTTTGTCGAAAAAAGGTCGAGGCAATAGTACGACATCTATCTGCCATGAGCCCACAATCCAAGGCAAGCTATACATTTCTCAAGCCATCATAACTGCCGGGGAGCAAGTTATTATCATGCAAGGGCCTCAAAACTCACACACAAAAAGGCAAAGCTCGTCACATGAACATAAAGCCCAAAGTGTCTAGCTTACCCATATGAATTATGATAATAATGCACGTCATCATGTGACCTTGGTACCTCCAATGGTTGCCAGAGTGATGTCTCCGCTCCACTCTGCCGGTATACAACAACCAAACACCAGTATATCTCCTGTTAGCTCTACCCCGTCTATCGCTTCGCCGCCAAATGGAAGCGGCATTGGTAGCTGATTAGTCTGTGCCGAAGTAGCGATCGCCGTATTCACCCAGCCCTGGCACGACACGGTATTCCTCATTCAACCCGGCGTCGATCTCCGATGTTACGATCTTCACACCAGGGAATCGCTTGCAGACACAATGGATTCCTTCAGGAGCCTGTTTGTGGAATGCCGTAAACAAGCTAGCCAAAAATAAGGAAACAGGTACTGGGTGGTAACTAAAGCTAGTAGATGGGCTAGACAACTTTACTGATATAAGATTAAGAAACATGATGTGGTCCTCTGGAACTCCTGTACTTCTAAGAAGCTGTATAGCTTGATTTGCTGAGTTACCTGTCAGAAACAAAGTATACTAGAACTTTAGTCATGGGAGTAACCAACCTCTATTAGTTCTAAATTTGAAATGCAAACAGAACGATCAAGAAAAGATTAGACCGATATGTAACACTAACCAGTACCGAGCACAGGATCCATAAGTAGAACATGCCGTTCAGCAATATCACTGGGCAGCTTGTTATATATGAGCTGTTCACAGAAGTAATGTTTATTCACAAAAACCACAGTAGTGAACTATTTCCAAGAATATTTTCAATGGAAGTACATGTAAAGAACACTCAACTTGTTGTCCGTCGTCTCCAACACGATGTATTAGGATTTTACCTATTTTTATCCCCTTACAACAAGCACGCAAAGCATTCTCCATGCTTTCACCACTGCAGTGAAACATATATATCATTCTAACATGTGCAGGAAAATACTACCAAAGATGTATTGCATGAGTAATTTCACTGAAAATGTATAACTAGGGAAAAGGAAGAAGGCGGGGGCATTGCATGTAAGTTTAAATCAGCACTCGTTCCTACTAGCTAGCAGTATAGCATGAGTTAATAGTGATTAACGTCTGTTACTGACTTATAGTACTGTAATTGATGGAATGGAACAAAAGTAGGGAGATATGTACCGGGATTGAAAATTCAATTCTAAGGACATATAATACAGGATAACTGAACTACTGTGTAAAGAGAAATCGCAAACGAGTCAAAATTTGACACATTATTTGCATCAGTGAACTATTGCGCATTTTTAACAACTGTCTACAGAGTGCAGAAAGATCCATACAATAATAGCTTACGTACAGGTATAGCGAATTATTGAGGCTAGATGCCAGTTTAAATCAAAAGGAGCTAGTACATGGAAGCTGCATATGCTCGAATATGGTGGTACCTAAAATTCCAGCCTTTTTTTTTTTGAAACGGACATAACCCCTTTCCATTAACCGAACAATGGAAATTAAAATTCCATCCTTTTAAACTATAAGATTTTAAAAATGGGGCAATACCTTCGAACAATCGACACTCCACAAAGCTTCTTGCAGAAGTCAACTCCTGAATAAACAGAACCTGGACAAAGCATAAATAATCATGATGTCAGTGTACAGAAATTTCATTCTTTGTTCTATTACAGAATATGAATGAGTACACAGGGCCTTGCGTTAACAGAAATACACAGTTGACAGTTGTATGAAGTAAATAAGGCAAACAACCAACAATCTTTAGAAGTCCCAGGCTTCCAGAAAATTATTTCATGAATACAAATTGGACAAGTACAAGTTTAATTTCACAAATTTCACACAAGCTCTGTTAACCAATGACGACATGGATCGGTATTTTTTGAAATTATAAAAGGGCTATTCTGTGTTTTTTCACCTGGTTTCCGTATAACAAACCAGACACCTTTTTCTAAATGAAAAGGCAGAGCACCTGCCATGTTCCTGAAAAAAGGGTGGCTATTCCAGCTCTCCAACCATAATTTAAACAGATGTACTCCCTCTGTTGGGTGAAAAGTGTACATATAGAAATTTTAGGACAAATTATGAAGTGGAGTAAAAAATGCATTGAAAAGGTGCAAGGCACCATCTCTCTCCTCCCAACCCCCAATGAGCTAAGTGCATGTAAAAATTAAGGAGACCATGTGTAGAATGTTATTGGTCTTGATTACCATGTGATGAGAGAGAAACATTTTTTTCCACTTTAAAGTGCATTGGGAAAATAGAAGTACTCTTTCGTGGACAAATTTTAAAGCTAAATGTACACTCTTCCCGGACGGAGCGAGTATGGAATTAAGTTATTTGACTGAAGCATGACAACTAATTTCCTAGAAAACAGTTAACAAAAGGGGTGAATGACACAATGGAACCAGTGATGTACCTGTAGGTGTAACGACCTGCTTCTCTGTAAATGGCAAATTCCCCAGACCATGCTCAACTACCTAGCAAGATATTTCCGTACCAGTAATATTTAGTAAACAGTCGACTACATTTATGAATTATGCAGCTCAACTTTGCCACTGGACTGAACGAATTAATCTAAGAAAGGACAAAGAGGTAGTGGTTACGAGAAACAAGACCATTACCAGACGAATCAGCCGATCTGAATAGAAGACAAAATCAGGAGTCGTAATTTCCCGGTCACGAATGAGGGTATGCATTCCTCGTATCTGTCCAGATAAAATTTTAAGAGCTCAAGTTTGAAATCTAAGTACCGCTATAAATCTGAAAGAGCAACAGTGGCGATAAATATACCTGGAAAGTTGTCTGAACTACGCAAACATTTGGATATAATTTGCACAAGTCGTGCTGTCCTAGTTTTGTACGAATATGTTGCGCAATTAAATCAATGGCAACATGGTTATCTCCTCCTCGCGGTATGATCACATCAGCATACTTCTTGGAAGGCAGGATAAAATCATCAAAGGCGGGCTTCACAAACCTCCCGTACTAATTATTTCAGTAAAAAATTGTGTTAAAAAGGGTAATGACATGCATGTGTATCTCAATGATGGCATGCATATATATACTTCATTTCTGGCCGCGTGATAGAGAAATAATAATTTAAATTGCATGCAGACCTTATATTTTGAAACAGCAGGATACTGTATGCCTTGTGTGTTGAAGCCTAGGGAGTTAATATACTTGAATTGAATAAGGCTAAGAGATCCAAAAGTGAAGCAGACGAGACTGGTGGTGGAATTACCTGCTCAAGCACTGAGAGAACATCTCTACCTCTTTCAACTGTATCACGCCTTATTCTTCGGGCAAGCCTAATATCAGCATCTAAACCGATCCATAATGGTCAACAGAAGAAAGGGTGAGCGGTCAAATAATAGCTATAAACATGACTAACCAAACAAAACGGCAAGACACTCAGAGCATGCAATGTCTCCAATATTGTAGCCATGATATTATGAATCATATATGCAACCAAATAGAACAGCAACAAACCTGTGTCAACGAAAATTTTCATGTCCATCAAGTCACGCACCCTTTGATCATGAAAAACCAAAATTCCCTCCAGAATGATGACATCTGATACATTGACCTAACAAAAAAAAATCGATGATCTATTCATAAGATGAATTATGGACCTAGTTAACAATCATAACCATTTTATTTGGCTTGAATTAAGAAACGGCATGAAACAGAGCACCAACAACACTAAACATCATTGTTCAACGCAAGCTCTCGTGTTCTTCTACAGATTAACAATAGGAGAGCTAGGGCCATGGTGATACAGCAGATCATTAGCACCTTTGTAAATTGTAGCTTTTACTTAAATTGAGGTAGTAAAACAATAATTTCTTAGATACATGCCTTTCATGTCACCATTTCATCTTTTTTTTTGCAGGTTATGAGTTTTCATCTCATCCAGATATTCTACAGAAAACATTCGTATACAAATTTGCTCACCAATAACTACATTCACAAAGGCATTATCACTTTCACATAAATGGTTGATTATGCAGTCAGTTATCACCTTTCTAAAGCTCTCAGAGCATCGTCGATGATTCTTGAAATCATATATAGGAATATTAACAGACTGCCCACTCTTTAGCTTTCCCATGCACTCTAGAAGTTGATCAGTATCAAATGCATCTGCAAGCAAGAAAATAAAATCTTATCCTTATGTAAAAAGTAAAGTGGATTCAAACCCCGCGGTAAAAAGAAGGCATAGGTATCCGTCAAATCAAGTACCAGGGTGATCAAAGTTGTACTCTTCCACATGTTCAGATTCCTCCTCAGTTAAACCGCGGTAGAACGAATCCTGCAAAGTTGCAACCAAGGCTTAGTTATACTTGCTCCTGGGATGCTTGGAAATAAGGTTTCTGCAATTGGTGGTGTACCATGGTGTGTTTTAACAGTTGGATCAGATTTAACAGGAAAATGGATGCGTTTCGGAAACGCTATACGGGGTATGACGACTAGGACACTGACAGCTAGATAACGGAGGATCCAATTCCCCGAACAAAAGCACTACTAGTAGTAGTAAGAGTTGGAATCATTTACTAGTCATTAATGTGCGCCATCATCAGAGTAGAGTACACGATTCCAACTCCACCCACTGATGCTCTAATAAAATTGAACAAACGTCACAAGCACTACGGGAACATATGGGCATCGCAGAGCAGCACCACTGACGGAGGAAAAAAAAGACAGAGCAAAAAAGAAGCACAATCCGACGGGCAACGAGAAGCAGCAGCTGACCTGGTTGACGAGCACGACGCGGTGGTCGTGCAGCTGCTGGATGATCATGTCGCACACCGTCGTCTTCCCCGACGCCGTTCCGCCGCACACCCCTTTGAAAAACGAAGCAAAAAGGAAGGAAAAAAAAACTCAAAAAACAGAACCAAAGCGGAGAAACTGCAGGAGAGAGCCGCGGAGGGGTACCGTACCGATCACGAAGGGCTGCCTGGGCGCGGGGGACGCGAGCCCGCTGGGCGCGGCCGCGGAGGCGTCGTTGCAGGTGGCGGAGGAGGGCGAGGAGGGGAGGGAGGAGGAGGAGGAGAGGCGGCGCAAGTCGCGGCGGAGGCCGCTGAAGTGGGCCCCCACCGCCGAGTCCAGGACGTCCTCCATCGGTGAGCTCCGCGGCCGCGGGTGTGGTCGCCGGCGTGGGCGTGGGCGTGGCGAGCTGGCGATCGCTGTGGCGAGCTCGGAGGTTTTGACACGGGGATGGGGCGGGTTTTGGGTGGGGGAGGGAGGACAGGGACGTGGTGGGGGCGAAAGGAGGACGCTGCGTGGAGCCGGCTTCGCGTGCACCCCGTGAGGCGGCTGGACTCCGTGGACGCGAAGGCGGGCCGGGTCTCTGGACGGCGTACCAAGAACGGGTTCACGGAGGTTTGGCCGTGCGCAAGGGAGGAGCATTTCTCCGTGACGCGCCGGGGAATATGTGGGGTAGATTCTGTTTTTTCTGCGCCTCGCAGCTGCTGGTCCTCTCCTGTTGATTCGCAGGCGGAAAATAAAAGGGACTGCTGGTCCTGTTTGGTGTTCCCAATTTGCTCTCTTTTATTTCCATCGTTTCCATTTCTACCAAAGCTTGCACATATGCTTTGAATGCTCGCATGATACTGTGTGGACTCGTATGCAGTGCGTAATAAACGCCATGTTTGACCGCTGCTGCCTTGGTTCGATCGACGCGGTTGTCTGTAGCCATTGTTGCGTTGCAGGCTTGCAGCGGCATCGTGGTTCGTGGGGCAATGCTCTCCTGTTCCAGCCAGTAATAAACAACGACTTGCCCTTTTTTCTGGGGACTGCTGGCGCTGTGGAGTGGATAGGACCATGGCAAGAAAGAAACAAGGAGTATGATGTGAAGGTGCGGCGTCACGAGGTGCCCAGTTGGGCGCGAATCTGACCGACCCCGTTTAAAAAGTACGTATACTCTCCGAGAAAACGAAAACTGTGTGGACGAGAGGGGTCGCTTTAACTTATCAAACCGGGAAAGTGCGTATACGCGTAGCCAGACGAATAAGTTTAGACTGCTGGCTCTGTCGTGCACGTCTGAGTCAATGCTAGAGTGATTAAAAATGTAGGACTACATGTCCTCTTTTTCAAGGGGCAGCACTACAAAAGCATTTTTTAGAAGAATTTTTTTTGTCAGCTGTATGTAACACATGGCGAATCCTATTCTACAAAAAATAAAATCGAGGGAGATCTTTTTTTAGATAAATTTAAGGGGAATCATTTTCTGCAAGTTGGTCTCGGAATGGCGATGTTGCCCC